GGGCCAGCCCTATAACCAATACATATTTAATGCTTATTTTGTTCCAGTCACTGTTTTGAGCACTTTGCCCATATTAATACATTTAATCCTTATAATGTTATGAAGTACTTATTATCCTCTTTTCACACATAGGGAAACCCAGGCACAGAAAAGTTAATTAACTTGCCTAGCTAATAAGAAATAGTAGATCCTACTCAGCTATAAAAACGAATGAAATACTGCCATTTGCAACAACATGGATGGACCTTGAGAGAATAATATTGAGTGAAACGAGTCAGGCAGAGAAAAAGAAATTCCACATGTTCTCACTCATTGGTGGGAGCGAAAAAAAAAAAAAGAAAAAAGAAAAACAAACAAACTAATTCACCCACATACACACACACAAAAAAAAACCGGGGTGGGGTGGGGAAGAAGATATAACAACTATACTTTTATGAAGTTGTTACAACAAGCAAACGGAAAGGACATTCTTGGGGGGGAGGGGAGAGAGGGAGGAGGGAGGGAGGTGTCGGTGATGGGCCATAATAATCATATACATTGTATATTGACAAAATAAAAATTTAACGAAAAAAAAATAAAAATAAATGCCTATTATATGCAAAAAAAAAAAAAAAGATAAAAGTGTTTTTGTGTAGCCTTGAGATTTGTCTCTTTGAAATTAATTTTGCTAATTAAAGGGTAGTTGGCTTAAGATACCTGATGGCCTTACAATTGTGTGAAATGCCCCAAATCTTTAAGGTGATACTGTATAGGGTAATGGCTTAGAGCATAAATATGCAACAATAAAAATGTGTTCAAATCTTAAAAAAAAAAAAGAAATAGTAGATCCTAAATTCATACTTAGCCTGGCTTCAGGGTCTGAGCTCTTAACCATGACACATGCTGCCTTTTCATGTAATAACCTTGAGTGACAGTGAGTAGAATAGTACGGCTACATCAGAAAGTCTTTTAAAACTTAATCTTAATTGTTTACTAGGTGCCTCAAAGTATGTTAGATTCTGAGGATATCAAGACGTAAAATAATTACAGTGCAGTGTTACAAATCCAATTATGGAACTATATAAGAGTGTACTGGGAGCAAAGATATTTGTAGAGTCTGGGAAAATTCCACAGAAGAGATGTTTCATCTAGATTATAAACAGTAGCACAAAGCAGAATCAGGAAAGGTATAGTAGAGGCAGGGGATGTATATATAGAAGCACAGACTGAAAGAACACAGTGTGTCAGAGGCAAGTCTAGTAATTTGCTGTGGCTTGAGCTAAGAGTCTATAGGCATGGCTGGTAGGGAATGATGAAAAGTAAGACCTCATTGTGAATGGCATGGTGAAGTCAAGCAAAATGAGGAGCTTAAATATTTGCTGTGCAATTGGGAAACTACAAAAATAATTTCAGCATGATTGGAATAAAAGCCAGATTGCTTGCAATTCTTTCTTAGAAGTATAGTGAAGGGTAGCTTGAGGGAGAAGTCTGAGGAAAGAACTTATCAGAATGTCGAGTCTTGAATATTGGAAAAAATAGATTGAACAGGCACACTGAAACCAAAATGTTAGGTTCTTAAATTGCTAAAATATTTGGCATTGTTATTCACCCTTTAAAAAAGTCTTGAGGAGAAGAGTGATGGGTTTAAAGTAGTAATTTAGAGAGATTCACGCACCAATAATGTTCAAAATGCTTGAGAGGGAGGAGAGAGACTGGAAGCAGGAAGGCTGTTGTAAGTATCGAGGTGATCAGTACCCACATTAGTTTTTTGTAGTGGTAGAGGGTAAAAAAAGAGACAGGTGAGGAAGACATTATGAGAAAAGACTGGATAAGATTTGTAACTGAGAAAATTTATGATGGATTCTATTGACTTAAGCTATTGGAGAGGGTGAGTTTGTAGACAGAGAAAAAGGTAAGTTCCTGTGATTTTAAAAAAAATGGGTGAGTT